TTTGAATTATGGGTGATAATAAATTTATCTTTACGTTTTTTACATTTTGATGATAGAGGTTACATTGTAGAAAATAAAGATGACATTTGTTATAAATAGTGATAAAATATCTGGTATTGTTACAAATGATATGTCATACAACAACAACAACAACAACAAAGCCTTTTCCCACTAAGTGGGGTCGGCTATATGAATCCTAGAACGCCATTGCGCTCGGTTTTGTGTCATGTCCTCCGTTAGATCCAAGTACTCTAAGTCTTTTCTTAGAGTCTCTTCCAAAGTTGTCCTAGGTCTTCCTCTACCCCTTCGGCCCTGAACCTCTGTCCCGTAGTCACATCTTCGAACCGGAGCGTCAGTCGGCCTTCTTTGCACATGTTCAAAATCACTGGAGCCGATTTTCTCTCATATTTCCTACAATTTCGGCTACTCCTACTTTACCTCGGATATCCTCATTCCCAATCTTATCCTTTCTCGTGTGCCCACACATCCCACGAAGCATCCTCATCTCCGCTACACTCATTTTGTGTACATGTTGATGCTTCACCACCCAACATTCTGTGCCATACAACATCGCTAGCCTTATTGCCGTCCTATAAAATTTTCCCTTGAGCTTCAGTGGCCTACGACGGTCACACAACACGCCGAATGCACTCTTTCCATCCAGCTCGTATTCTATGGTTGAGATCTCCATCTAATTCTCCGTTCTCTTGCAAGATAGATCCTAGGTGGCGAAAACGATCGCTTTTTGTGATCTTCGCTAGATTGCTCCGGTCATTAGTGTGGATAAGTATATAAATGGATATAGATAGGAAAGCAAACACAAGATGTACGTGGTTCACCCAGATTGGCTACGTCCACGGAATAGAAGAGTTCTCATTTTAATTGTGAAGGGTTTACACAAGTACATAGGTTCAAGCTCTCATTTAGTGAGTACAAGTGAATGATTTAGTACAAATGACATTAGGAAATATTGTGGGAGAATGATCTCGTAATCACGAAACTTCTAAGTATCGGAGTGTGGTGTCGTCTTGACTTGCCTTATCTGTCTCATAGGTAGATGTGGCATCTTCTCTGGAAGTACTCTTCCTCCATCCAGGGGTGGTATCTTTAACTGGTGGAGATGCACAAGGTAATGTATCAATTTCACTTGAAGCTTACTTGTAGTTTCAGGCTTGGTCAAGCGCGATACAAACCATGTAGTAGGAGTCCCCCAAGTCGCCGAGCTAGGGGGTCTGCTGAAAGAGGTGACAGACAAGGTAAGCAATCAGAGCTCCGACTGATTGTTCACCTTCTCCCCATCTTGCAGCAGCATGAAGGATAAAGAGAAGAAAAATGAAGAAGAGATGATATGAGATACTTTTGCTTTGAAGAGAGTAACTTTCCACAGGCTTATTCTTGAACTGAGCTGGAGGGTTTTCTGGTTTCCTCCAGAGTATAAGGCCGACTGAAGAATTTGAGGGTCAAAACAAGTCCATCAAATCTAGAGTACGTTCCACCCTGCTGATATGGAATACTTTTGCTTTTGACAGAGTAATGAATGTATCGGCACGTGTGCTGTTACGCTTGTCTCCACATGCTTCCTTGTATCCTTCGGACTTGCCCTATCTGTTCCTCAAGCAGATGCAGAATCTTCCCTGGAAACATAAGATGTTGAAGATGAGTACTCGAGAGCAATGCCAGGTAAGTAATCAGGTAAGGGGTTCCAGGCAGTCAGTTCCTGGCTGGAAGCTTGATTCCAAGTGCTGACTGATTGCTCTCTTTCTCCTTGTCTTGCAGGTAAAAACAAGGCCAAAAGAAAAGACAGGGAAAAAGCATGATATGGGATACTCTTGCTTTTAACCCTGATGATATGAGATATTCTTGCTCTAGTATAGCTTGTTTGCAGAGGTATTATCGGGGGGAAAGAAAGCTGAATATTTCGAAAGGCTTCGTTGGGAGTGCCCTCTCAGATATGATGAAGGGTTGAGCATTTTTGCAGGTCTGCCTGTCCGTTGGGGATAGAGGTCGACATATATAGGAGTCTCCCTAACAACAAGTAGTAATGCTATTCCTTTACCCTGCTTGGTCATAGCACAGTAGTGGGAGCTGTCAGTTTCACATGTTTTAACTCTGTCAGAGCACTTTGAAAAAGTGGTCTGTGGTATCTGGCTCTCGAGATTCGGAGAACGATGCCTCTTCGATTTTTGAGAAATCAATAATGCTGGGGGTATGACTCTCGAGATTCGGAGAGCAGTGTCTCTTCGATTTTTGAGGAAGTAATCATGTTGGGAGTCTGGCTCTCGAGATTCGGAGGGCGGTGCCTCTTCGATTTTGAAGCAAGCAATCTTGTTGGGAGTGTTGTCTCAAATGTGAGTAAAGGTTGGGCATGTTTGCTAGTCTACCTTGCCACGAAGCACAGAGGTTGACACACAGGGACTTTCCAATTATCCAGCAATGGTACTGTTCCTTTACCCTCTCTTCGATTTTGAGAAAGTAGTCATGTTGGGAGTCTGGCTCTCGAGATTCGGAGGACGGTGCCTCTTCGATTTTGGAGCAAGCAATCTTATTGGGAGTGTTTTCTCGAATGTGAGTAAAGGTTGGGCATGTTTGCTAGTCTAACCTTGCCACGAAGCACAGAGGTTGACACACAGGGACTTTCCAATTATCCAGCCGTGGTACTGTTCCTTTACCCTTGTGGGTAATAATATGGTAGCTAGACCTTCAAAATTTATGGGTCTAAACTTTGTTAGTGCTGTTTCTTTGCTATTCTTTTACCCTTCTTGGTCAGAGCGATGTAGTGGGAGCTGCAAGCTTCACGTGCTCAACTTTGGCAGAGAACTTTGGCAAAGTTATCTGTGGTACCCATGAGCTATTGTTGCGTGTGGGAAGTGGGTGATTGAACAGTAAGATTCATGTGTTTTCTACTTCCCCAGAAGTCTTTGACAGAATGCCCATAATTTCCGCAAAACTGAGTGTGCGTGTGACAGGTGCTGACAAGGCTGGAAAAGGCTGGAAAAGTAGGTGCCTCTTCGATTTCTGAGATCGGCCCTCGTGGTCTCTGGGGAGCCCAGCTTTTAAGAAAGCGAGCGCCTCTTCGATTTTTGAGATCGGCCTTCGTGGTCTTTGAGCAGCCCAACTTTTGAGAAAGCAAACGCCTCTTCGATTTCTGAGATCAACCCTCGTGATCTCTAAGCAGCCCAGCTTTTGAGAAAGCAAACGCCTCTTCGATTTTCTGAGCAGGCGCCTCTTCGATTTCTGAAGCTTCGTCGAGTGCAGATTTTTATAGGGGCTGGCATTAAGTTCCAAAGCACACTTGAATCTCCACCAGTAGAAGCTTCATTCTTGCACTTCTAAGATCTTGATTTGTCCGACCTCTTCTCTCTTCAACACCTTTGAAAATGTCTGGCCCCTCCGACCGTCGTTTTTGACTTGAACCTTGTTGAAGAGGCAGCCCCGCCTTCTCCAGACAACATATGACGCCCATCCTTCGTCTCCCCTACTGGTCCTCTTACCATTGGGGATTCCGTGATGAAGAATGATATGACCGCTGCGGTGGTGGCCAGGAACCTTCTCACTCCCAAAGATAACAGACTACTTTCCAAACGGTCTGATGAGTTAGCTGTTAAGGATTCGCTGGCTCTCAGTGTTCAGTGTGCAGGTTCTGTGTCTAATATGGCCCAACGCCTATTTGCTCGAACCCGCCAAGTTGAATCATTGGCGGCTGAAGTGATGAGTCTCAAACAGGAGATTAGAGGGCTCAAGCATGAGAATAAATAGTTGCACCGGCTCGCACATGACTATGCTACAAACATGAAGAGGAAGCTTGACCAGATGAAGGAAACTGATGGTCAAGTTTTACTTGATCATCAGAGATTTGTGGGTTTGTTCCAAAGGCATTTATTGCCTTCGTCTTCTGGGGCTGTACCGCGTAATGAAGCTCCAAATGATCAACCTCTGATGCCTCCTCCTAGGGTTCTGTCCAGTACTGAGGCTCCAAATGATCCCCCTCCGGTGCCTTCTCTTTCTGGGGCTCTACCGACTGCTGAGACTTCTCCTAAGCAACCTTTGTGAAGGCTCCCTCTTGTGTGCTTATTTTGACTCATGTATATGTACATATTTGTAGCTTATCGGGGATATCAATAAATAAGCTTTCCTTCATTTCAACGTATTGTGTTAAATACACCAAAGCCTTCTTCGCTAAGTTCTTTGAATTTTCTTTTGTTAAAGTTTGTATGTTGAAGCTTTCTGAGTGGAGCATGTAGGTTGGGGTAGTGTTACCTTAATTTCCCGAGTGAGGAAAACTTCTCGGTTGGAGACTTGGAAAATCCAAGTCACTGAGTGGGATCGGCTATATGAATCTTAGAACGCCATTGTGCTCGATCCTGTGTCATGTCCTTCGTTAGATCCAAGTACTCTAAGTCTTTTCTTAGAGTCTCTTCCAAAGTTTTCCTAGGTCTTCCTCTACCCCTTCGGCCCTGAACCTCTGTCCCATAGTCGCATCTTCTAATCGGAACGTCAGTAGGCCTTCTTTGCACATGTCTAAACCACCGTAACCGATTTTCTCTCATCTTTCCTTCAATTTCGGCTACTCCTACTTTACCCCGGATAGTGTATTAAAATAAAGAATTTTTCTAGATATGGAAAACCGTTCAGGTTATATTCTAAACATAATCTTATTTACATCCTGATATCTAAAAGCCCCTTATTAATATTACATCTAAAAGCATAAACTCGACACCAACTGATATTATAACACGTGAATTAGTAACACTATAATAAACATGTGAATTAGTAACGTCGTACCATAATTTGTATCAACCTTTTAAAGCTCTCTTCCACGATCCTTCAAGCAAAATATAAACGGGAAAATAAATATCGTTTAGTCATCTAATTATAACAAAAACGTAAGGTGAAAAATAAGTAAAGGGGGAAGGTAGACATTTCTCGTTTATCAAATTTCACATCGACTGTCACCGAGAAGTTTGTATAAAAATGCAAATCTTGCAAAGCACTTTCCACAGCACGGTTAACCTGATTTCATCAAACCTCAAATAAACTTCACTTTCAGTCGACAATATCTGGACTAAACCAGTAATAACCACCGCGGTTCGAAGAGTTTTACTTCGAACGAACCGGATAGACCGGAAATACATTGGTTCTATGAATAATTAGGATAGATTCTGGTACAAAGAAGTTGCTTGAATGCATAATAATACACCACCACAGTGGATTCTCTTTCTTTCTCTAATACAACACCACAATGAATTCTCTCTCTCTCTCTCTCTCTCTCTCTCTCTCTCTCTCCCCCCTAAAACAATAACAATATTCACTAAGAATCTATGCGCACATAATCTCACTAACTACTTGAGCCTTCAAAGACGAAGAATTTGGTAAATGCCAAGGATCACTTATCGGAACCTCCGTTTTGCTTCTCCATAGGCGACGACCCCCATAACAGTTACCATGTAACCACCAATGCCGACAACAGTCACAGGGTTCTTGAACAAAAGAATTGAGATAACAACAGCCACAGCGCCTTTTGCATTGCCTAATACCTGGTTGTAACATAATTTCCATCGAAGAAATTATATGAAAGTCCAAGAACAAGAGCTAAAAATAAATAAGCATGTTCACCTACAAAACATTGATTCAACTGCATTCGGAGTGTGTTTGTACTGCATTTAAGGCTTGAATAGTTCAATGATTATGTGCAGACACAATTGCCATATGACTGGCCCTTTATACTTTAGGCTTAGAGTCATAACTAGCTTCGACCGACAGCAGTTTAATCAATGTTTTGATACTATTCCCAATAGAGTTGATACTTTAGCGGTGTACAATCACACTAGGAGTTGGATTTGGGGTTCTGATTACTGGGGTTTGGGGTAGACAGTGTTTTCCTATAAGATGAAATATATAATTTCTAAATTAGCGGATATTTGTGAAGATGTCCCTTGAAGGACCTATGATATAGACCGTTCTGAATTGTGAAGTAGCTTCTAGGGTGAATGTTTGTATTCTTTTCTAAAATGAGTAATCTGGTCACAATTCATAAATCAAGAAATGTTCTTGCTGCAAGATTGTCAATCTGGACCACACATTCAAAAGAAACAAAAAACCAACCTGATCAATGGGGTGTGTGTGTGTTGGGTTTTTATACACTAAATTAGAACAATCAACACAGTAATTCGAGAAAGAATTAGCTAAGGCAATATGAATTAGGAAAATCAAGGTGAAAGAAGTCCAAACCTGAAGCGTTAATGCACTTGTATGTTTGGTAACCAAAAAATTTGACAAATTAGCAGAATATGCCATTACTGAATTAACCAAAACAAGTAACCACATGAATTTATGCTCCCGTCCAAGTGACAGAGTGACATCTACGACATTGGGTTCCATTATAAGTGCAGCAGGCAACAACACTAGAATAGCAATCGGAGACATGTACAGCAGCAAATTCATTGAGTTCAACTTCTCCCTGTTAAGCAGCAGACAGAGAAACAGAAGAAGTAGTAAGAAAACACCAGAGCCAGACAAGAGTAATTTAATTTGGCTTGAGATAAAGATGGCATTGAGACGTAGAGACATACAAATTGAACATATATCACAACTATTTCGAAAATTATAGGTTTGACTGCAGAATGTCCATTGTTTGCCAATCAAATAAAGCAAGGGGAGCATATCTAAATGCATATCAAAGAAAAAGTTAAGAAACAAGAAATAGAAGAACTGCCTTCAAACTTAAAGAGAATGTATGTAACACGTGTGTGTAGGCTCTAGTAACTAGTAAGTAACGAAACTAAATAAGCAATTAGGAATACAACACTTAATGGCCGATATTCAAACACCCATTAGTCCTCAGGGTCCTAATTTTAAAAGCGTTCAGATGACAGATTATACAGTGAAAAGCTTTAAAGTTTTACCCTTCGGAAGAAAGTAGAATACCCTGAAGAACAGACTTAAAGGCCCTTGCAGCAGTTGCACTAATGCACATAACAAATCCAAAGAAGTGAAAACTTGGCTCGCCCTGCCACCAACCGAGAGATTTCAGTCATTCCACTAAACTAGAAAAACACAGAGTACAATGTAGGCCATAGCAGTAAACTAGAAAAACAGGCTGTTGCATTCTTAAAATTCTTCAGAAACATTTATCATATGCCAACACGAACTTTAAACACCAGCTTTGCATCATAACTACATTATCCATACATGGTATTGATTCGTTGTTTCTCAAACTGTTTACTTCAGCCATGAAAGAGGTAGCATTATCCATTACCAATTACAAGTTACACTGTTTTAAAAGAACGACGCTTCTCCAGTAATTGTAATCGTCTATACCAAATCTCGAGCCAAATGCATTTCTGATTTCAAGTATAAACCAGATAGAATATCTAGAACAAGCCATCACTGGTTAACCCTTGCAGCTGATTACAGATCTGGATCAGTAAGTACCATATCTTAACTATATTTTCGACCGAACACTATTGAAACCAGCTAAATCAATCAATCTCATACAAAATTCAGCAAATTCACAGCAATATAAACCCGGAAATTAACAGCATTGTACAGATATCAAATCAAAATTATCCGAAAAACTAAACTCCTCAGAAGCAGATAAAAAACAATGTTAAACAATTAAATTGCGATTAAAATCCATGATCCAATGAACAAAAACAAGCATTACCCCGCTAGCAATCACCACCCCAGCAACAACAGGCACAAGAGCAGCATAGGTAACCCAGGCCTCCCTCTTCAAGGTCGCCAAATACGCAAACAGGGCGGTGAAAAACGGCGTCGTCGCACCCACAGCCTGATTGAAAGACACAGCAAGGTACCTGAGAGAAATGTTGCCCCCCACAACCGACCCACAAAAGACAACGCTCAAAGTGGCAATCTTGACGAACTGGGACTTAGATTTGATGGTCTGGAGAGGCACAATCTTGAGGAAGACGATGGAGAAATAGCTGAGAATTGCGCAGGCGGCCATGTGGCACATTGTGAGGAAGATGGGGAACCGAAAGCCATAGTTGGAGAGTAAGAACTTGTTGAGTAGGAGGACGCCGATGTTGGATGAGTACCAGAGGATTACGAGGGATGATATGAAAATGGCTTGCTTCTTTGACGACATTGTCCAAATGGGTTGAAGGAGGAGGAGAGATTTTAGGTGGAACAGGTGCTTGGATTTGTTTGGAGAAGCTCTCGTCTGAGCTTCAATGGAAAATTATTATTATTTCTGCAACTCTTGCTCTTTGGGTTTTTGTTTTTTTTTTTTTAATATTTATTTATAATTTGTGTACGTGGGTTTGTGCAGGGAACAATTATTGTGTTGACGCGTAGGTGGAAGGAACATGCAATCGTGGCAAGAAACAAAAACCACACCCAGTGTTTTTTTTTTTTTTTTTTAATTTTTTTTTTATGTATTTTGTTTGTGAATAATTTTGATCTCCTGCTTCAAGTGATGATGATTCTTATTATTTTATTAAATATCATTGAATGATTTAAATTTCAAAATTTGTATAGTGAATAGACATAAATTTTCAAATTAAACACATTCAATAATAATAAATAAAGTGATGGGCATTACCAACACTTGAGGCTAGTGAGCAAAAATATAACCGCTTAGTCGAAACAACCACGAGGTTCGGCTGACAATTTGTGATCCACAAAATAAATCATTTTATTTAAAAAAAATTAACCATTGATTTAAGAAGTAGGATTTTCTTTCCTTTTTTTTCCCTCCCTTCTCCCCTCTTATTTAAATGATCACGATTAAATCACGTCAATATCTTATATTAATTTTTTTATAGAGAGAAAAAGATAAAATCGAAAGTATGAGAGGAGGGAAAGAAAAGGAAGAGAATCTTACTCCTTGATTTGAGGATTTATATCCTCTTCGGATCCCTGCACTAGGGATTCTAGATATCAATGCATAATAACTGTTCATCAAAGATCGCGTGATCATAATTTTTTTAAAAATATTTTTTACGTAAAATGAGACTGCTTTACTTTTAAAAATATAAAAAAATTATTTAATTGTGGCCGCATGATTTTTGATGAACTGTTGTGATGCATTGATCTCTGGGATTCCCAATGAGGGGATCCAGAGACCATCGTAAACAAGTGTCAAACGCCTAGGCGATCGACTAATATTATTCAAGACATTTGTTGCCTTTCAGCATGTATATATTTGGGACAAGGATTGTCTGCCCTCCACTTCCGGTGCCCTCCCTGTGCCCTCCTATTTGTGTGGTCACGGTTAAGCCACGTCAACATTTTATATTACTATTCATTTTTATTTTATTATATCTATAAAAAAATAATATAAAATGTTGACGTGGCTTAACCGTGACCACACAAAATAAGAGGGCACGGAGAAGGCACCGGAAGTGGAGGGCAGACAATCCTTGTCCATATATTTGATCTCCTAGAGTCTTTTTTTTTATAGAGGCAAAATTTCTCAATTATGATGTTAGCGTGACGTTGTAGTTTAATAATGTAATAAATAATAGGAAGTGTTATTGACACTTCAAAAATCTCGTTCTACACTTTTTATAAGTGTATTAATATAGAAAGTTTGAAATGTAGAAAGAGATTTTTAAATGTTAATAACAATTCCTTAAACAATAATACAAATGTCATATCCTTATTACAAAATCTCACGTCATATTAGTGACTTCATTTACTTCAGTACGTACACTCAAGAATAATTTTTGAAGTTTGAACTACAGGTTCATTTATTTAACGTTATTTAATGGTACTCAAAAAGGAAATTTGTCTCTTTCCATTTACTTGACCATTTTACATTTTTGTCATGATTATGTATAGCCTTGATGATGATGATATGAGTAGTTACTGTAATCAAAATTATTGATTATCAATTTGTGACCCAATAATTCCCATTTTGCATGTGTATACGTAATATATATATCTCATTGTTTGAGTAACACAGTTCATTTGAGGCTTTCATTGTCACTATTAGACTATCTCTAATGATGGGCTAAAACTTAAAATTTCTCTTTTTCCCCCTCTAAAATCCACTCCAACCCATGACCTAAAATTAACCTAAAACCTAAAACCCAAATGGAGGGCAAATACCGGCCCAATTTTAGGCCACAAAGCAAAATGGGCCCCACCAACTGAGATTGAAACCGGGGCTGTGAAGCCCATTGCCCAGTCCCTACTTGCCTACGCGTTGCACGCGCTAGGCTTTCTCAAAATTTTGTACCAACCCACGTGGGGTTGTTCCCCCACTGTCAGACCATCAAGTAGCCGTTGGGCTACTTTTCTTCATCCAACGGTTCCATTTAAATGGGTTGTTGGTTAATCCAACGGTCCAAGTTCAAATTAATTTTTTTTTAGTTTTATATTTATATATTTATTAAATCCAATAGCTTAGATCGAATATAATCAAATCTAACGGTAAAAAAAAAATCTAAGTTTATGTGGTTTATTAAATGTCGTTTGTATTAAGTTTATGTGGTTTATCATGATTTTCATGTATTGATTTAGTGATTTTTCAAAATTTATCGGAATTTAAATATTTTTAGGTTAAAATATTCATATAATCAATTTAGGATAGTCTACCTAATTTTTTTAAAAAGTTAATTTAAAAAAAAAATTAGCCTTAATTCATTCTTTGATAATTTCGGGCTAAAATTTTAGGCTAGAAGGGTTGGAGCAAGAAAGCTATTTCTGGGCTAAAACCTAAATTTTCTGGGTTAAATATTTTTAGGTTTTAGGTCACCATTGAAGATAGTCTTAAATCATCTCCAACCCTGACCTAAAACCTAAAAATATTTAGCCTAGAAAATTTAGGTTTTAGCCCAGAAACAGCTTTTCTACTCCAACCCTTTTGGCCTAAAATTTGAGCCCCAGATTATCAAAAAATGAATTAAGGCTATTTTTTTTAAATCAATTTTTAAAAAAAAAAAATTATGTAGACTATCCTAAATTAATTTTATGAACATTTTAACCTAAAAATATTTAAATTCCGATAAATTTTGAAAAATCACTAAATCAATACATGAAAATCATGATAAACCACATAAACTTAAAAAAAAAAAAGACAATTAATAAACCACATAAACTTAATACAATCGAAAACTCATAGACTACATAAACCTAATAATGATATCCATCATCTTGACTTGGTGGTGGACTTGGGTGATAGTCTTGAGATGAATCATCATCTTGAAATATACTTCTTGTGGCATTCCTTCGTAAAATTTCTTTTTGCTTACCACGTAAGTATCTCTTCCTCTCTGGAGTGTATTTATCGAGGTCCTCCATTATCAAATTAGTTTCGTACCTTTCTTGCTCCCTATCCCCTTCTTGCTTCATGGCCAAAAACCTTTGGGCCGATTCTTCTTGCCGACGACACTGGTTTTCATTCATTCTTGCCATTTCGCTAACAAATTGTGCATGTATCGGATCTTGGGACTTCCCTTTTCTCTTTGCTTCCTTTTGCTTATCTCTACCCGAGGGCCTTGGCAAAGAAGAAGTTGGGCTAATTTGGTCGATACCTTCATTGTCGGCAAAATTCACAGCTTCATTGACATCATTTGGAGGTGGGGCTTCATTATGAAATAATCTTCCACATTGTTGATTTGCATCGGTTCTCCACCTCGGACAATCCTTGAGGATGTTCCAAGCATGATGCAACTTAAAAGCTTGATTTTTTGGTGTAGTTCTTGTTTTGTAAATTGCCATTGCTTTGTCACCCTATGCAACAAATACATAAAAATAATTAGTTGCAAAATACTATTATGTACATGACAAGTAAAATATCAACAAAGAAACTCACAATTTCTGAGGCGCCCCTTCCACTAGGCATGTCAACCATGGCTCTCTCCAAGCTTCCCTTCCACAAAGTGCACGCTTTGTTGATAATCTTCCACCGATCATAAACACCACCAACTTCCCTTCGACCGGTGTTGGAGTTTTCATGGAACTTATCAACGATTTTACCCCACAAATCCTTTCTATTTTGATTGGTGCCGACGGCACCATCTTCACTAACAGAAATCCATGCCAAACATAAAGCTACTTCATCAAAGGTCCAATTACGACCTCTAACATGCTCTTTTGCCATCTTGAAAATTTTGGAAATGAGAAGAAATGGTAGAAAGAAAAATTGGAAGAATTGTAGGAGAAAAATGAGTTTTGTGTGGATGTTTGAACAAATACATAGGTATTTATAGAGTTTTTGGTTGAATTTTAAGTTAAATAATTTTTTTTAATTATTTTAGCCGTTAGATTTAAATTTGGACCGTTAGATATTTTTTTTACCGTTAGATTTGATTATATTGGATCTAAACCGTTGAATTCAATAAATAAATAAATATAAAACTAAAAAAAATTAAATTTGAACCTGGACCGTTGGATTAACCAACGGCCCATTTAAACCTGCCGTTAGATTACAAAAAGTAGCCGTTGGGCTACTTATTGCCCAGACAGCGCCTGACAGGCAGGGGAACACCCCCACGTGGGCCTGTTGGCTTTCTGAAAATGCCTAGCGCGTGAAGCGCGTAGGCGAGTTGGGAAAGGGAACTGGGCTTCACAGCCCCGGTTTCAGTCTCAGTTGATGGGGCCCATTTTGCTTTGTGGCCTAAAATTGGGCTGGTATTTGACCCTCAAATGAGTTTTAGGTTTTAGGTTAATTTTGGGTCATGGGTTGGAGTGGATTTTGGGGAGAAAAAAAGGGGAAATTTTAGGTTATAGGGCAGGGTTGGAGATGGTCTTACAAGTTCAAAGTTTGGAACATATAAGTCTGGCATTCATCAAGCATGCAACAAATTAGTTATTATAGTCACATATAAATCGTGTATAATTTGGATGAAACAAAAGTAGATGTATCAATGCCAATTCATGATGTTCTTAAATATTATCATTTCCCCCTAACAATCATTTAGAGAGAAAGTATTTATTACAACATATCCAACCGACTACAAATGAGAGGGAAAATATATTTATACAAGGTATTTTGAAGACTACTTAATTCTAAAGCTATCGCTGACATGGCAATTGCCTACGTGACATGTATATCCAATATAATTCACCTATTCACAACCCACTTCTCCCCGTCAACTCATCATTGTAAGATGCATGACGCACCACAACTGTTCTTATGCATGAACTCCATGCCCCAAAAAAATTTCGACTTGCTCTAGAACCAAATCATGGTTCAATTTCAGTTGATTGACTTATGAGTTGCTTGGAAAAAGTTATTCTAGGCTTATTTCTTCTTTTTTGGGAGGGGATGCAGAAAGGTTTTGAATGAAGTTTGAGTTATGTGAAACTATTTCGTATAACGGACAACAATAAATCATGGACTGAGTGAAATTATCTTGGTTACTATCAGACACGGTAGATTCAGATAGTGGATTTAATGGACAGAGTTAAAGAGAGCAGAGTAGTAGAGTACAAACCTGAAGGAACGAGAGCAAGAAGAGAGTGAAGTTCTGATTGCTGTGCAGTGCAGATTCAGATTCAGAAACTAGAGTGCAGTGCAAAAGAGAGTTGATCGATGTCGACGCCGTAAGGAACGAGAGCGGACCTTGTTGTGTGAAGGATTTGGTAACGAGAACGAAGAGAGTTGAACGATTTGGTAAAGTGAAGTTCTAAACTTCTGATTGCTGTGTGAAGGGGCTGTCTGAGGGTTCTCACGTGAGTGAGTAGTGAGGTTTTAAATTTTTTTTAATGACTTGGCTCAAAACAACGTCGTTTTGGCCAAGTCATTTTAAAAAAAAAATTGGCTTTCTTCTTCCTCATTCTGAAATGCACAGCGACCAGAGCAGCCATGGCTGCTGTTCTTCTCCATCATTGCCCAGACTTGGGTGGTCCTTGAAGATCCTCACAGCCATTTTTCCAAGCTTTGGGTGGTCCCGGACCACCCTGGTCCCTTAATAGATCCGCCCCTGACTGTAGGTGTCCACAACTTCATCGCTACTTGCACTTGTGCTACATTCCGCTCGTTTACTTCTCTCGCCGCTCCACTTAATTCCATGACCACAATAAAAAACATGGCTGCTCCCTCCACTCTGATTGCTACATTCCGTAGCTCTTTGAACCAAAACAATTGCCAAGTGAAGCTGATTGCCATTAGCCCTGAATGACCAAACCTGGATTACATCACCAGCAACCAGCTTGTTCTTCTTAACAACCTTACCCCAACTAGTTTTCAACGCATAGGATTTTCTGTCTGAGTTCGACAGCGTCCACAGACTCAAGTTGATCCCTTTCTTTTCTTTAAGCTTGAGCCTTGGATCGATAAATGGAATATTAAGGAAACCCAGATCACGACTTTTCTGACTCCGCTTCGGATTAAGGGTTTCAATCTCATTAGATGTGAGGAAACTGCCGGACAAAACTTGAAGCGGAGGCAAAGACAACCTGTTATGGTTGGGGTTGACGTCAGTGGGGTACAACTTCTTCTGTATGAGCAGGGTCAACTCTGTCCCGTTCATCTTGCCGATGATCAATTTCTTGTATTCTTCCGGCAAATCAGGCGGAGGACAGAGATAACTAGTCTTGTTGTTCTTGGTGTACACCCTCTTCTTCGTCTTCGTCTTCTTCTTGGAAGCAGACCAATCTTCATCACCATCATATTTTCTTTTCAACGTCGAATCAATATTACTCTTCAGATCAACATATTCATGAGTAGCAGTAGCGGTAGTAGGGTTCTGCCCAAAACTAGATTTTGACCTTGGTTTCTTAGGGTTACCCTGCAGCGCCCAATTGAAATTGAAACTGGACTGTCGGATCTCGTTCTTCTGTTGCTTCTTATGATCAAAACCCAGATTGAAACATTTGCACTGCGGCAGTATGCCAGGGAGCTGAAAAGGGGCAGCATTTGAACAAGAAGAAGAAGCAACATCTGTTGGTGTTGAACTTGAGGGTTTGATCCTTTTTCCGGCAATGCCATCCTTCAGTTGTTTCTCTCGCTCGTTTTTCCGAATACGAACGCAAAGAACCTCGCACAGACGATCGATGGAGGACAAAGAACGATGAAAATCGTCATTAAAGTCCCTGCCCTTGAAGTCCTCCATCGTCAGAAACCCCACAACCATCTTCTCTTCTTCTGCTCTTTTTCTTGAGAGATTGAAAGAAGCGAGTGGAGAAGCCATCGACGTAACAAAATGACCAAGAACTGAAAAGGGTCGTTAGGGTTTGGCTAGAAAGGGATGAGTTTGAACGAATTGACAGAGATCTGAAGAGGGGTTTTAGGGTTTTGGAACCCTTTTCCTTCTCTGTCTGAGCGCCAGAGAGAGAGCTCTTGGGCTTCAAGCTTATTTAGTTCCCAACGGTAACTAGAGAATGAATGCGGATTCGGGTCAAATATCTAATTGACCCGTTAAAGGTGGCTTTTTGATGCATACAATTATTATGTAATTAATATGTAATTTACCAAAAAGGATTTGGTATTACATTTATTTTCCAAAATAAAGAATAATTACTTAACAATTTAACTAAAAAATATAGGGATAATATTTGGGAAATTTTATTTGAACTCATATAACTTTTTTTTACACCTAACTTACTCTTTATACCTATATTATTTTTAACCAAACTATCAATATCTCTTTAAACCCTATTTAGAAAATGAAAACCCAAAATCAGTGTTGTGAAACTCATTCAAGACGTAAAGAGAGCCGTATTTCTCACATATTTGTCTCATGCTTAATCCTTTTTTGGCTGAGTTTGCTTAATTCTATATATGTTTTCATTAATCCTTTATCTCTTGATTTCGCTTAATCATGATTAAAAAATTTCAAAAATTTAAATCCCTTTTTTTTATTTTTTATTTTTGTTCAAGCCAAAATTCAGTATGTTTTTTTGCAAATGATCGAAAATTGGATCATCAAATCCCTCCAACATTTAGTACAAAATCCAAAAATTTTACACGGTCCGTTGGATCAACTTTTCATTCATGTGATCTGAAGTTTGAACAATCCTTGGTTACTTCGAATCCATAAATAATAACATAAGCATGTAAAAACTCAAAAATAACATCGAGCTAGTACAATCATAATATTGCTGCACCAAAGGCTTATGCATTTTCAAGGAAGGTAAGATTGCGTGATGGTAGGGTTTGATTATTGGTTGTGGGTTTAATGATAAATTTTGGTTTTATTGTTCATTTTATCTTGTACTTGACGGTAATTAGGCAATAGGGTAAAAAAGACACTTCACCTTTAAAATTTAAATTGGGTGTAGAAAAAAGTTATATGAGTTCAAATAAATTTCCCATAATAGTTAGGTACTCATTATTGAGTACTTTATTTACTCGTTTTTAGACCCAACCCAGTGATATTTTAATACATGTTTTATTGTTTTAAACAATGGGGCATATATTATTTAAATTTTCTTGGACTTTTAAAAATAACTAACACGTGTCATGTTTTGATTAAAACAAATCAGAAAGTAAGTATATAAGATACTCACTAACGAGTACTTAAGTATTATTCAAATTCAAACTCATCTCCATGTAATTTAAATTAAATTAGAACATCGTTGGATCCTCTGTTCATAATTTGGAGCATCCCAAAATAAGTTGGGAATTCATGCATCATTTTTTCAACCATTTTCTCTAGTTACCATATTATAGGGATAAAGATTTTGTGAATAATCATATATATTTTTTTACTAAACGATATTATCTATACTAAAGGGAGAGAGGATGAGTTTAGCCTCATAATGGGCTAGCAATAATGTAGTTCATATTTATCTTTGGTGAGAATCGAACCTAAAACCTCTCACTTACAAGTGAAGAGGAATACCACTAAACCGTAGTACTAACTGACATAATTGTGGATGCAATTTTCCGCCTTCTTCTTGGACGAAAATGCATATGCAAAACAATTAACACCTTAGGTCAAGATCAAAAGCCTTACTCGCCCACGATGAATTAGGGGGGGGGCACTTTGGCCAAAAAACCTCTGATGCCAAAGTTAGAATTTGAGGGAATATTGTTGATAGAAATTTGGATAATTTTAGAAGAGAATTGGACTTAGGTTTTTTGGAGAAATGAGGGCCATTTATAGTGGTGTGGCCGGCCCTATTTGGAGAAAAGGGGTATGGTGACTTATGTTGGTTTTTTGCTCTAATTGCAAGATAGTATGTCAAAATAATATCTTGCAATCAATTAGTAAATTAATTAGGAAATTAATCAATTAAATTTGGTAATCAATCCTAATTTGAAAGAATGATTGGGGGTTGGATTTGATGAGGATAGATAAAATATGTTTTGAATAAATACCTATTTTGATCACATTGACCTTGATTGAGCTGTTATTATCCACTGCTTGCGCGTGGGAGTTCCGGTGTGCCTCGAGGGTAATTTTGTCTTTTTCACCTAAAAATCCACGTGTCGCCTTCATATTCTTGATTATTTTTTGCTCCACAATAATCATACTTATAAAAACAAGTATGGAGATAGCTCAACCGATGGGATAGTAGGTCGTGTATGGAGCTCAATTGGCATATACCCACCATAAGCGTACTTGTTGTTGGCAGCCATATGCCACAAAAAATTATTGTGCGTGATGGTAACACGGCATGGAACTAGGGATAGCAACGGTTCGGTTTGAAGACGGAAATCCTATATCCATCCACATAACCACGAAAATTAACCATATTCATAACCGCAAATTAACCATTGGGGATTATCCATAACCATATCCACCGGTTAACGGATTTTCAATCGGTTATCGGTTATATCCATTTTCGTCAAAAAATTAAAAAAAAATTATATTCATCCAATTGATGCACTATAAATTTTAGTAGATACTAATTCCATCATTAAATAACAACATCCAATTACAAAGACATAACAATATATTTGAAGTTGTTTATGATAAGCCAATATGATAAATTGGTCCAATAAAAAAAAAAAGAGGACAAAAGCAAATATGAAAGGAAGACAAAACAAATTGATTTAATGAATTAATTTCTTGACAATGAGACTTTTGAAGAGAGATGAATCTGATAAACTTGGAACATTTGATAATTGATATATAAAATGATTCAATGAATTAATTTGGTTAAGTATAACAATAAGAGTATTGAATTGATGAGGTTGTTGGTATGCCCCATGCATGATGTTTGGTGCATAATAAAAATAGTATAGGGTTTGATGCATGCATAATGAATTAGTATAGGGAGGGTTTGATAAATAAATAAATAAATATATATATATACACACACAATATATTCGGGTTGGATTTGGGGATGGATATGAATTGGGGACCCCTATAACCATATCCAAAACCATAACCAAATAAAGTTCACGGTTTTTCCCCATATCCATACCATATCCGAATTTTCATAACCAAATCCAATCTATTCGGGCGGTTATCCACGATTATCGGGTTTAACGGTTAGAATTGCCATCCCTACATGGAACCGATAATGACCAACGCTCAGATACCGATATGGTATTAATAGCTCACTCAAATTTTAACATGTTGGGTTTAGATTGATTACCACATCAGTCGATTGCACATCACAAACTTTGCTTAGTAGTATGTATATCCACCACCAGTAGCAGCAGCTGCAAGCTTTTTCTGCAGCAAGTCAGTATCAAAAGTAACATTTTCCCTCTGGCCGATGTGGGATTCAACAGTAACATTTTCCAGGCATGCATGTGAAACGTTCATCTTGTATTTTGACCTTCACCGTGCATCAATTCAACGACAATATCACGCAGTGGAATTTGGCAAGAACAGAACTTATGTCAGTGTTCCTAACAAATACACATTGGCTGACTAAATTTTAGCTAAGCCTACTTACTACTTGACATCATTTCGTTTCATCACAATTCACAGCTGAATTCCCCTGCGGTGGAAAATGAAATCATCAGTCTGCATCATTTGATTCGTATAAAAGGGGTAGTATCAAGGGGCAATACAGGTGGTTGTATAGAGAAACTTACTTTCATCTCCTCACTCCTGGAAGAGATACACGAAACAGGTAGGAGTTGTCACATTCTCCAATGTCAATGAGCCCTATTGTTGGTCTCACCTTTGCCATTGCCGCACTCCCAGTCAATGCAAATCCATCTCTGGTGGAAGCTACAGTATTGGACAACTCTTTTTTTAGTTGGAAGAGAAGGAAGAAAAATCATAGCACGATCAAGTTTCTCCACAGGACCAGAGTCATTTTTATTCATCTGCAGGGACCTATAACAATGCAGCATAGGAGTACCACTATCTGGAACAGTACTGATAGGTGCCTCAACATGCATAGGTTTCAACTTTCAAAGGATCCTTCAATTCCATGAGATCCTCTAAATGGATTGGCAAGAACTGATAGGTGCCTCAACATGCATAGGTTTCAACTTTCACAGGATCCTTCAATTCCATGAGATCCTCTAAATGGAGTGGCAAGAACTGATAGGTGCCTCAACATGCATAGGTTTCAACTTTCACAGGATCCTTCAATTCCATGAGATCCTCTAAATGGATTGGCAAGAACTAGCGGGAGGTGACTTACCATTGGACTTCGGCTCCTGCTCTGACACATTATGTAAAACACTTCCATCATGAACAGTATGCAGCCTTGCAGCATCTCTGTCCAGAAGAAAATCCTCCAGCCCAGTAAGCCTCTTAAATTTGTTTGAGTGGCTTCTGAAAAGCATCAGTGAAAAACCTGACGGTGAATTTCTACATCATATATACAGAATGAAGAAATCGACATGCAGATCCCAAAGCAGCATTTCATATCAGGCTAAGCCGGTGCAGTAAGAGCGGCAAGATATACAGAGTTGCACATACACAATTCATCAAACACTTATCATGTTTTCACATGCAAAACCATCACAACAATTTCCATTACTTTTCACCGAAACTGCAGCAAAAGCAACTTGTTTTTAACCAAGTAAACAAATTATCGAAATAAAACCCAGGAATTATTAAACCCAATTGGTCTCCAGCCATTCCGGAATCATGGAAATTGAATTAAATTGCTAGATTAGATCACCTAAAAATTGTGAAACAGGACAAATGTTTGTATGAACAGAAGTGATAAGGTGTTTTATTACTAAGATTAACCAAATACAAGCGGTGCCAGATGGGTACATATTTCCTTTAGTGACCAATTTCTCGATCCAAAGATACAAATAGTTTTAAACCCCTATATCACCACTTTATCTTGCAGTCGGAAACTAGTCAAAGGCTGTCCGAGGAGGGAAGGCCTATAGAAGACATGGCTCTGTGCAATCTCAATGCGTTCCCTGGGATCGTTCAAGTTTTCATCCCTCAACGCTTGAAGAATAGCTTGCGATGATTGCTTCCTGGGGATAAAACAACACACATGGCAAAGAATTGATATACATACCAAACATATTATACAAAGTAATGCCAAACATGATCCGGGTCGTACTAAGTATTATCTTTCGAATTATAAGTTTACGGGAAATTACCGTGTTATCAGTATTTTATATAGCGTCTTCAAGATGGGGCAGAGCTCTACAGGAGCAACAGGCTTGTTTTCTTCTGGATGCAACACATTTAAGCTCGACTGACTGAGAAGTTCATAAAATGCTTTGACTGCAGAGACACCCTAGAAGCAAAGGGGTCAGAGCATTATATATAGATCGGTAACAAGTTAGAAGAAATGGATTACAAGGGCACGTTTTAGCTGGACACCCCTAGAAGCAAAAAAATTCCTCAATGGAATGACAAGGGCACGTTTTAGCGGGACTAGATCTTTGCTAGTGCTGTTATGGAGGAGTAATCATATTCTTCACACATTCTTCTTACACTTTAATACAATGTCACACATCTTCAATCCTTATTTAGATGTGCCTCGTCTGATGATTTGATAACTAAAATGTTTACTTGATTGCACATACTTTTACCGGTCAATCATTTCTCTTTTAAATTAATTACTGAGGTATAATTGTGACTTGAAATGAATATATCTTGTAAGGGATTGAAAACGAAAATAACTAATACCTGAATCATTCCTTTGCCACTGATGTTTTCACCCATATCCCGGTTTAGTTCCCCTTTGGCTAACATTTGCCCATACCATGCATTGCGACCTTTCAACAGGGTTACATATGTGTCAGCCAACAAAGGCCCTGCAAGTTTCTCGGGCTCTTCCGTCAACAAATGAGTGATAAATATCATCTCTGAGGTACAATGTGCAAAGTATACGGATTTGCTAGTAGCACTCTCCTTTGTGAGGGCTGCTACCATCCCTGAGAAAATTAAAAGGAAAAATGGCCATTACATCATCCAATATTTATAGCTATAGAACTGAATTGGTTTTCCATTCTTCCGAGAAGCTTCCCTAAGCAATGCCGGGCAACTACAGTTCATATACAACAAATTTCATGTTTGTCCGGGCAGGAATTTTCTGACAGTTCTTGAACAGTCAGTTGTGAATTATTCCATTTGAAACAGTAATGTCAGCTCGTAAATAAGGGAACAGGATAGCCTGTGATTTTAATGAAAACATATCCCTCTTAGCATGGTTCGGAGCTTCATACATCTGATACCTTGAGGACAGAATTGAAGAGTAGTGTTTTCGTAAAAACAGGACTCTAAATCATATAAAAGCATCAAAATACTTCTCTTCAAATCTGTCCTCATTAACACGGTATCAGGTGTACGTAGCTCAGAAATTTAATGAAGTGGAACAAAAATTACAAGAACTCAAATGAAGGTGAACAACAATAACCAAGCAGAAAACTTGATTTCTCATTCACTGTATTCCATTTTCATGTTTATGAAAAAGGACATCGGAAGTCAAGATGATTGGTATCCGAAGTTGTTCCTTGTAATTAAATTCTTGAACACCTAAAAGTTCATTTCTTTTTACTGGAGTCCACCTTTATCGTATGAGATATGTCTGTCAGAATGAACTTCAGATTTACCTGCTCCAATGGCATAGACATTCTTTAAGCCACCCATGACTTCATGTGTAACAAGATCGCTATTGTCCCAGACAATAAAATGGGGTTGCCTTAAGAACTTTGCGAGAGGTTTTCTCCACTTTTCAGCTCCGCATATTCGAGCATTAGCATATTCTTTGTTGTAGATTTCTGAGGCAATGTTTGGGCCACCCAGATAAAGTATGTTCTCTATAGGTACACCGGCTGCGAGTCATACAGAAAAGAATGAACAGAAATTGAGAAGTGGCAATAACAATATACGACAGTTACTTTAGCTTTACTCACTTCAGTAGCATATTTCTAATTGAACTTTAAAGTTAAAACCCAACATACTGAAGGTTCACAGTCAAATTAAAAGAAGAGAAACATACTCGCTTGATGAATCATTTGCGTGGGAGTTATGATACGCGGGAGAGGCTCAAGTGCGGCCTCGATACCTTTTGCCAAAGAGATGATAATAGGATCTGTGATTCTTTCCTTCCAATAATTACTAATCTCTTCAAACACCTCTTTTGTTTCCGTTGATGGCAAGCCATTCACCACAATATCAGCATCCCAAACTGCCTCCTGCAAACTAGTCACAACCTTCAAAGGGCACAGCGGCGTCTCAACCATGTTCAAACAAAACCCATCTTTCAAAATCTCATCGGCATAAAGTGTTCGATCCCCTAGCCTTGCCTCCACATATTTCAAATACGCACATCGCCTGATCAACCTCCTCAACACATCTTCCCTCGAATTGATCACTTCAAAAATATGTTCAGCGGTGGCTCTATCAACAGCTCTTCCCGGTCTTCTCCATATCCTTATTTGAACCTTGTCTCGAAATTGACCATAGCTATCTTGCAACACAGCAGCAAAAACACTGCCCCAAGCACCCGCCCCGACACCAACAATTCTCAAAGGGTCACCATTAGCCTTCCCAAGGCGGCTCCGGAGCTCGTCAAGCTTCTCCTCCAATGCATTAAAGTTCTGAACAGACCCGTTCGAGTACAAATTACGATTCATAGCTTCAATGCTCCCCACCATCTAAATCCAGGCAAAATAAGACCATCAACAATAACACACAAAACTGAAAAAACTCCCCAACTACTTGCTTATGCAGGTTTTTCTATAATTCCAACTGATCTTGAAAGTTTCTAACCAAGTCAGAATTTAAGAACAACCCACCTTTTATATTTATATGATCGCTCTCCCAATACACAATATTGAAATGTATGATATTTTTAATCAGATTTTACGACCCACCAATCAAGATTTGTTGCTAAACAAATCCGGCAGAAACTGATACAAACAAGAAAAAGGACAAGACTTCATCCTATGCATGCAATGCAAGTCTCTTCCTTTTTATTTAAGAATTCCAAAGAGTATGCCAAAAAAAAAAATAAAACCCAAATATTCAAATTATATTGTTATCTCCGCCTGAAGTTGTTCATCTACCAAACCATATACTTCAAAAACACTTTGTCAAAGCTCAGAAATTAAAGAACAAGAAGAAGAAAAAATCAACAAAAAATACCAACCTTGTCGGAAATTACAAAGCTTTTTTGGTCAAAGTTGTGTTGGGTTGTTCACTCAAATTCCTGTCAGCTCAGAGACCCGCCCGCACTGGCTGTGGATATAATGCTGAAAAATTGAAGCCGGACGGAAAGACGCCAAAAAGTGCGATGGAGATGACAAAAATGTAACTAACATGAAGAAGCTCAGGCTGAGGAGGAACAAAAAAAGCCATAAAAGGCATTAATGGGTGCAGTTGAGGTTGAGTTGGGTGCCAAAGTCATTAATAGGTTTTAGATTCTGCCAACTTCACCCACGGTCATTAATATTGGATTATTTTGGTCGGTGTTCGATCACGGGTGCTAAAACCCCATTGTAACATATAATATTTGTATCAAAAGCTGAACTAAACTCAAGTGTGAAAATCTAAAGTCTAGATTATTTAACCAATACACAAAAAATCCACATCCTGAACTTCCTTCTTTTTTTTTTCTTTTTAACAAACGATATAATCTACACTAAGAAGTGGAGAGTGGAAAGTGGGCTAAACCTCACAATGCGCTAGTAATAATGTGATTCAAATTCACTTTTAACTAATAATAATGTGGTTTAAATTCACCTTTAACGAGAATCAAACATATAACCTCACTTACAACTGAAGAGAAATATTTGGAAATTTATCGTCAAAGACCTCTGATAGAGAGAAAATTTAGAGAAAAGCAATAGTACTCATGACTCATCTAAGTAGAGAAAAGCTTTTTTTTTTCTTGGAAAGAAAATAGAGTTATACATTCAAAATAGAGAAAACAAAACACTACATCCGCTAGTTGTAGCCGTGAATTTGCATGATTGTGGTCATGGGTAAGGTGCTATTCTCAATTAACCTTCTTCGAGCTCGAAAATAATGAATAATCGTGATTTACTACTAGTTGTCTTTCTTTTCATGAGGGGAAAAAACATTACACTTGCTCTCTTCCTACACTCATCCAAAGCCAAGAATGTGTCAAAACTTCGAGGGCTTCTTCATTTTGAGCCTAAGAGGAGGAGCTATACAAGGTGGTTTCAAGCTTTGAAAGGAGTTGGTGTTACATTGGATTTAAAGCACGCTCCAAGGATAAGTAACATTCAGATTTCTTCTACTTTGATCCTTGAAACAAATAAGTACAATGACCCTAGGATTAAAGATCTTAAAGGGGGTTTATTTGGAAAAAGAGTTGAAGTTCCATCATACAATTATTTGGCAATATAAGTAGTTCAATTACTTAGAGGATCTCCAATAGAGACCCTAAATGAAGTTCATACAACCGTATAATCCCTAAATATAGAGACAGAAGGATTCCAATGAACCGAAATTGAAGTCCTCAAAGTATCTCTATATATAGAGACTTGTTGGATACTCCATAGAAATTCTCAAATATAGAAACTATATATAGGAACTCAAAGAGTGGATTCCATATTAATTTTGACTTTTGAGTGTCAATGGTGCCGCTTTTTTTTTTTTTTTTTTTGAACCCACCCACATGGGATAGCTTCTCGTTTGATTTATTTTTATTTTTATAACTCTTGAAAAGTCATTAGTAGAGATAGTTTTATTACTTTTTATCAAAGGTCATAATATGCCAACGAAATGAATAATAATTTTTAAATTTTTTAGTCACTATATTTATGGATTATAATTAAGGACTTGTTGTAGACATAATTTACTGAATAATTATGGAGGCCTTAGAGAGAGGGGTGCGGCAATAGGTAGAGAGAATGAGAGAGATGTGTAATTGTGGGTGTGTTCTATTTCACCCCATTGTGCCTTTATTTATATTAGTAGGGAAGGTTAATTCCTTACCCTTTAGGATTACAACATTTAATAGGTAATCTACTCCTAATAGGAATATAAGAGATATTCCAATATATACTAGGATTTACACAATCACATTCATAATCTAATAGGACTGCAACACTCCCCCTTGAGTGTGTAAATACTCAAGTAAATGGCGCATCATGTTTTCAGTGATGAAGTAAGTACAGTTGATGAAGTTGTCGGCACAATGAGTGAATGTGAGTCTCAAATCAATGGAAGAATGCATAAAAAGTAAAACTCACAAAACCTTGCTATGGTAAAACCCAAGGTGGGAGAAAAACCCATAGTCTAAGGAGAAAAGTGAGAAGTTGCATTAAGTTAAAACTATACATCTTTTGGACGCAAGTAGAAGAGCTCGCAAGGGTATGATCAGCTCAGAATGGGTGCCTCGTTAAAACCTAGTTAGGTAGCAAAAACCCAGTGGGAAAAATGCTCCTAATCGTAGGGGAAAAAAGTACATTAAGATCAAGTGAGTATACTTCTGGATACTTCTCCTGAGTTTGACATAACTTCCAAATGAAAACTACAAGCATTGCATCTGACTAGTTAAGCATACCAATTCCTCGGACAAGCTTCTAGAAGGTTAATTTTGGCAGTGACGTCGTGTAGAGGTCGGCAAGGTTATCTGAGATCGGCTTGCATGACTTTAATCTCCTGATGCTTTGTTGATGTAGATGTAGACGCAATATGTCTTAGTGTTGACTTTGTTGGTGTATCATGGCTTAGTTGGGTTGATACATGCGGCATAACCTTCATAGATCGTCGTTGGGACTCAACGATGGATGAAAACACAACAAGTACTTCGAATATGCTCAACAAGAACTCTTAACCATGTCTTACTTGTGGCGTAGTGAAGTGAGGTAAGTCTTGGAACGATTCAAAGATTTGACAACTAAGGTTATATCATGGACCTCCAAGATATTGCAATATCCCTAGCGGTAAAGACATAACTATTTTGGGATTTTGCCTTGTGCGGGTTTGATAAGTAACCTGCTTCAGTATAACAAACAAGGCAATCATCATTTTGAGGATCAAGGGGGTTGGATCCACTCGAGATGCGTTGGGATTTACCCTCGTAGTACCTTCCGGGTATGTCTTTAATACTAATTCAGTGGTTGCGTGTAGGTGTGGTGCTGCATCTTTACCAAGATCAACAGCGAAGGAGATGTCTTGTCTAAATACAATGAGCTAAGTACAACGAAGCGCAAAGTTGAACTTCAGATATGGAACTTCGAATTCCATAACCTCTTCAAGGGTCTCATTTGCATATAATGTACGGATGATCAAAGGTATACTTAAATGTGACACATTCAGAACAATGCTCGAACTTCAGGTCAAAGCATAAATGAGTTTTTCTAAGATCCTTCATCTCAAATTCCATCTTCAGGTGCGAGGCAGTTTTCTCAAGCTCTTCCGGAGTCTTAGTGAGATTCGTGTCAATGACATAAACTGTAACTCTAGAAATTTGGAATAAGACTTCATAGTTTAACATGCAAGGGCATAATTCATTCCTAACTGATCAAATAATCACTTAAACGGGTATACCACATCCGTTGGATTGTAAGTGAACGCCTCAAGCAAGTTAAGATGGTGTTCCGTGGTTTTGGAACTATTTGAACCAGTCCATGTAATTCTTCAAGAACTTACATGTAAATCTCCGTATCTATATCCCCATGGAGAAACACTAACAACATTTCATAATGTTGCTATTAATCACATGACGTTTTGAGAGAAACCTTGCACCGTATGACGTGCATCATATCGCATTATTTCATTCATCTCAATACACTTCCTTTCCCATTTGTAACACAACAGGGTTACCTTGGGCAGTGTAGGAACAACAGGTCCAATACACACTTTGGTAAAGAATTTGACTGGATTGTAACTTTAGTTGTCCAATCAGTTCTACGTTGTAACTTAATCAACGGAACACGGTTCGATATCGTCACTTTTCATTTATGTCAGTAGCTACCATATAAGTGAAAACATCATCGATGGTAATCTCAATTCAATTCCATTTTCTCATCCAAACTAATATACTGGACCAAGAACTTTTAAGTCTAGGGAGAAATCTGGATTAATCTCATGAGATGGAAATGATTTGAGATAATGATCAAGTTTAGATTCATTGTTGTGTCGTATCTTCCTCTTCTAGGGAAGTGAATCCTATGAACCGAATGATCTGTTGTGCTCCAGGCCAAGACAAATTGATTGGCTATCCGCCAGTGTACTGGACCGTCCAACAGGGGCGGCACACCCTCTAGGGATGTTGACTCAATGCCCATTAAGTACATCTATCCTTGCAGGCATGTTTGCAGCTGGTATATGATCTTGTCACTTTAGTTAGATCAAAGGAATACGTCTGGAACAACATTCTAAAATCTAGAATTTTTCGTACTTGCTTATCATATTTGTGCGGTATGGGGATTAAGATGAGACATAATGGGTAACGTCCATGCAAATTCATGTCGTTCTACAGGAACGTTGAAGTTCTTATCTCCCCTTAACGGCGGGAAGACTATCTCATTTAAGTGACAACCCGCAAATGAGCGGTAAAGAGATCGCATGTAAGGGCTATAAGAGAGCTAATGTGAAAGAGAATCATGATCGACAAAAGATACACATCCTTCTTTGAGGACCTATGGTGGTACGTTGCGGCGGCGCAAACCCATGGTAGTACGTTGCGGCAGTGCAACTTGGCACATTGAATGCACACCCAAATGCGTAAATACGAAAATCGTTAGGTTCGTACCTAGTAACCAACTGTAATGTTATATAGGTTGGGTGGCAATGGGCTTCAAGGTGAACCAACATAACTGCGTACAAGGATTGCATAGCCCTAGGCAGAAACCGAAAACTTGGTACATTTACCAAAATTCGGGCGATCATTTAAATTGCGCTTTATGATCACTAGGTGAGGCTCTTTTGGGGTGAACATGGGAATTCAATGTTCAATTATAAACCTAAAATACATGCAATACTTTATCGAAAACCGTCGATATAAACTCTCTGACATTATCTAGTCTCCCAGACCTTAAGGGATAAGTAGGGTGGTGAACCCTTAATCGACCATAAGGTTTAGCAGTAATGTTTGTGGATAAACATGTGACCAGTTTGTCAATTCATCAACCAAAACCATAAGTATTTATATGGTCCACATTTTGGTTGGATTAGTCCACATATATTCCCTTGAATCCACTGTGAAAAAAGTGGTGATTTCGTATCTTTGCGAGGGATAATATAGAAAATCGATTTCCCTAATGAGCAGGCTTGGCAAAGTGTGCTTGTAGGCACAAGATCCTTACTTTGGGTAAGGATATGCATCATAGCATCATTGTTCGACCTAAGTGTCCCAAAGAGTCGTAC